CTCCCCTGAACTTTTCTTGTGTATTTAAACCCTCAGTTTGCTTCTGTTCTTGGTTGCATCGTGATTCACGTTGTTTTCTTCTGTTGCTTTGTATCCTTCTAGTCCTGTTTTTCGCTCCTGTTCTGCTCTGTTATGGTTTGCTCCATCTGTCGCCACCAATGAAGTCTGTGTTTAAGATTAAATCTTGTCTCACGAGTCATACGTCGGGGTCTGCCACATCATTCCTGACTCTGCTTCTGAGTTTCCGCAATAATTCTGTGCTTGCTGTTTGTTGCAGTGACCCCTAGTGGGCAAAACAAATGTACAAGGGACATCGTGTTTGGTTCAGTCAGACTGAGACCATAAACTTAGCAGGAAAGTGTTTACTGAGCTCAGAGATGAAGCAAGCAGCAGCTCATGTTTGTCTCGACTATCAGTCCTGAACACAGCAAACCTCTGCAGCTCAGTAGTCTCCTCGATCTGTTCCAAATTTACCAGTGAACAGCTTCTGAAAGCGTCCACTGCTTCTTAAAAATAGCCCCAAAGATGCAAGCTGTTCCGGATACAGATACGACTGTGGAGGAAGCTGAGCGAGTGCTCCACCTCTACAGATCAACCAGCTTCTCTGCTGGATATTGTCGCCTACATGCAGCACACAGGAGGGACTGAAATAACCCACTGTGCCCTCTCTGAGTGGTACTAGATTTCTGCAATGTGCCAGAGAAAAAGGATGGGGGCCACTTGTCAGAACTGGGTTTTTCAGCTCCTAAGTGATGAGGAACGGCTCTGCAGGCTCACTAATGTACAGTAAATGCGACGGGTGGGTTGGATTGTTGAGTTATGCAAGGCTTTCAGCCCTCTGTAATAGTGCAATACTTTGGCATGTTGCGTAACAGATTTGTCCTCCTCGCTTTTTTAATGCAAGTCCAACGATGCTTCCACTGTCCCCGTCCATTTCCATCCCTGCCCTTTACCTTTGCGCAGCGGGAATACAGTGATTAATTCACCTCTTCAATAACTCTGAGAGCTTCTTTTTGGACAGTGGAGAGCGTGCCATTTTGCAGGAATGTAAATGTTAATCAGTGCTGACTGCAGTTTCAGTGTCTCCCCCGTGTTATCATCCAAAAGAAGCAAAAATCACAGAGATATCAAACCTATTAATCAACTTCAACACAAAACCTGTCGTGTTCCCGTCACCTGTGTGTGCGTCTACAGCAGTTTGTGTTTGCTTTGTTTGCTCGCCAAGTCTGGGTGGCGTAGCAGTGAAAGGGTCAAGCCGAGGCTGACCTGAGCCCAGTCATGTTGCAGGCCACGCCCCTCCCTGACCTGTGAGCAAGGCCCGATGGAAAGACAACCTGCCTCATATCACTTCTAAAGCCTTGTTGTTTTAAAAGAAAAGAGCCAAAAGCATTTGCTGACATCATTAAATCATCCAGCGAGTCCTCGTCTCCGTGACAGAGATGGTTTAGTTCAGGGGTGTCAAACATATGGCCCGGGGGCCACTACCGGCCTGCTTAAGAGTCCAGTTGAGCACAGCTGTATTTTCTCCTTAATAGTGTCTCACATCACAAGAGTGTGAACTGATACCTTGACTTGAGTCAGAGGTCTGAATCATCATCAGCTTTACACTGAGTAACATCACCCACAGCATCCACAGCTACACCACAGGACGTACACAGAACCAGTCAACCAGTAAAAAGATTTGTTTTTTTTAATTATGGGAGAAAGTCATGACTGAGCTCTCAGCAGAGAGCCGTGCAAAAAACCAACATCTGAGACTGTTTTACTTATTTAATGTGACAATTTCAGAGTGTGCTTCTTTAAAGAAAGAGGACCAGACCATCCAACTTCTGCTCAGGGTGCTGGACGGGCTGGCAGAGGGTGGAAGGTGGGGGTAAACCTGAACGGGTCAACAGTCAATCACAGGGCTAACGCAGAAAGACTCCAAGCAGGACGGCACACGTCCCACAGACTGACTGTCACCCCTGGTTTATCTGCACTCACAGCTGAGTGAAAGGAAGAAGGTGTCTTTCATAAAAAGGAAGAAATGAACGAAGGGGAACCAAAAAGGAAATTAGCACTGATACTGGACCACGGGTAGGTCCTCCACCTGTTACAGGTGATGCGAAACCAGGTGAGCTCATTACTGAAGGTAACCAGTGAGCCAGCGAGGTGTCTCTGACCTGGCGGTAAAGAGCGCAGGTTTGGAGCCCAACACGCTCTGACACGTTTGGCGTTGGTGGGTTCATACGATACCGCTGCATTTGCTGGAGATGATGCAGAGCTGACAGACTGGCTTCTGCTTGCAAACCAAGTAAAATGTTTCGGAAGCTGACAAGCAAAGAATTCACAGCTGTACAGTTTATCCACGTACAGTTCATATCGTGCAATACAGCCTTAGAACAAAGGTCAGACTGTAAACTGCGGTGCTCTCCTCTGTGGTTTGAAATGCTGGCACATGGTGAAAGGTGGCATAAGATTAAAAGCTTTCACAATGGATGCCTCCGAAAATATGACACATCTGGCCAAAAGTCAGTCGAGTAGAGAGCTCTAAACACAGACAAAGTGCTCACAGTGGCTCGGCCATGTCCTCGGATCGCTCCAGGATGGGCATCGCCTGGAAAACACAAGGTCGGCCACAGAAACATGGTGGCAAAGCTGAAGGAGGAACACGTGGACATGCAGACCTACTGACTAACAGTTCACAGTCAGCTCAGCTTCAAACATGGTGGACTAAACCTTCCTTACACTGAAATACAGCTGCTATCACCAAACATCCTCATACGTCAATCAGGCATCTGTCCGTCTTTACCTCAGAGAAGCTCCGCCTCTGTAAGACGCTCCTTTTACACGAGGTCATGTGACCTGTTCCTCCAGCTGTTTCTATGGCACAGGGTTTATTTTCTAGCTGTTTGTTGCTCCATAACAACATTTCTGAGACATGTTACATTAAATTGAAAATGAGGTCATAGTAAAATTTCCCAGTTGAAACATTTCATATATTTTCTATTATAAATAAAATATATGTTTATGACATTTGCAAGTCATTGATTTCTGTTTTTATTTGCACTCTACACAGCTCACCAGTGTTTTGGGACTGGGCTTCGTTATTTTCTTCATTGTGGCTTCAGTAATAACACAGAATTTCAGTGATACGTTGATTTTAAGAGCTTCAGAGGACAGATGACTGTCAGTGACGTTCGAATGATTCGGTGCACGAGCATGAGGACGCGTGTGCTTGCTTAGGAAAAGTTCAAACTCAAATATATTTCCCACTGTTTGCGTAACAGGAGCTTCTCCGTCCTGCATGTGCAGAAATCTGCTGTTAAAACACGGGTCGCTGTGCGTGTTTCTGACTGACCCTTTCATGGTATTAATGCAGTTTTTATGTTTAGACGTGTCTGTTTTCATACATATAAACACATTTAATATTCATGTTCCTTGTAATTAGTCAAATCTCAGCGCGTCTCACAGTTCTGTCCTTTCCCTGCTGCTATCTCACTGTATGCTGCTGTGTGCTGAATGATATAATAAGAGTTTACATATACAGTCATCCATCAGACACCAAGGTGGAGAAAGAACAATCCTACCGTAACTGTGAATTACAACAACAATAAATACGTAAATGAATCATATTCAAGCACATTTGAACTTCTTCTCTCACAAACAAAGACCCGACCGCTGGGATGCAAAATGTTTGATTAAATAAAAATAGGAATAAAGAGTCAGGGAGAGTCTGTGGGTCAGGGCGCTGTCTCACCGCAGGCTGAATCCTCCTGAGGTACCTGAGCTGGTGGACGGCTGGACAGGTAAGTGCATCAGATCAGGTGTTTTAATTACCTTAAATTAATTGATTCAATTGAAACGTAAATTATGAGATTAAGTAGCTGTTCCTGTTACTTTGTGTAAACATTGTAGACTGATACTGTCTGTATTAATAATAATAACAATAATAATTTGTTAAATTGTTCTGGCACCTTTCAAGAAAACCAAGGATGCTTCACACAGGAGAAGCAAAACAAGAGCCTTGCTCTGCCGGAGGTTTCTCCTGCCCACTGTTGCCGGCGTTGCTCACAGGGGGTCGTCTGAACCCCCGGTTGTGTGTGACTGGTAGACAGAAAACACTTTTTTGTGTGAATGATGAAAGGGGACGAAGCACTTTGAATAGTGTACAACGCACCTAAAGTCGACTGTTGTCATGATTTGAAAAAACTTTATTTTGTATAATTCACCATTTAGCCTTAGAACATTTTTCACTGATTCTTCTTCTGCTGTTATATTTTAAACCTTTTTCTGTTTATTTCAGTCTCCCAGCTGAGCTGTGACGTCACACAGACGCCGACAGTCAGCAGGAGAAATCAGGCTTCCTGACTCTGGTCCAGTGTGCGCTCCCACTTTGTATTCATAGCCACAGAACAGCTCTTTCAATCTTTGAATGTTTACAAGTCACACACTGCAAAATCTCCAGTAGAGCAGAGTCTACATGTGTCCACAAACTACCAGCATTTCTAGTTATTTTCCAGTGTTAGAAAATCAGCACGTGTCCAACAGTGGACACACACAGACACCTTTGTAGTGTCAATGTAACACTGGTGATTCTGCAGCTACGCACTATAATGTTATATTTATCTGAGATTTACAGCAGAAAAAAAGTCCCACTGAATCAGTTTTTTCTTCTGATTTTATAATATTACATGAATTAACATAATTTACAGTTAATTACTTGTTCCTGGTTATTACTATAAAGTTTGCAACTATTTCTTCATTTCTTCAGAGATTTCCCGTCATGACCGAAGGACGTCGCAGACGGCAGTCGATGTGGAGCAGCTAGCTAACAAGCTGCAACTCCGGAGTTGCATCACTGCATGACACAGAAATATTTCTGGGACTTTTGAGAGTGTCCTGATGCTCTCAATCTTGTGTTTCGTTAACAGTAGTTTTCAGTGACCTGATGAAAAGCTTGTGCAGCGTACAGACCGACATGTTTTTAATGCAGGAATTCAAAATAAGTGACCAGAGTCTTGCAAACATATGGCTTTTTATTTAACTGAATGAATATTGTAACATTAATTCAAAAGAAACATGAACATCTATCCACATGTCTCGGCTTTTGCTCTTTTTTTAATATGAACGAATCCAAACAACAGACGAGCGCGACCTTAAATCTGAGCCATCGCGTTTAAATACAGACTGAAAGGAAATATGCAGAATACCGAGCAAAACCAGGACAGTAAACCAAATCAGGAATGTACAACACAGTGTTTATGTTCACGTAAAGAAACGTAATGTTAGTGGTGAAGTTCTTCCATTTTACACAGCTTCTTTTCTTTTGGTGTCTTTCAGCACAAATTATTCACAGAATCTACAGCTCAAACATTTTGTTTCCGGCTCTTCGTGTAAGGTGTGCTCAGGGCAAAGGGCCAGATTCAGAAACTGCATTTTGTCTTGATTATTTCTCAGTGTTTGACTCTTTCACAGTACATCCTTCCTGCCTCCAGAGGTGGCATCTTTCTGCCGTTTGTCCAGTCGGTGAGGTTACTGCAAGGAACCACGCGAACAACATCAAGTCTGGCTGCGTGAGAACATTTCTTTACAAAAACACCAACAAAAAACAGGATTTCACCCTTTCAGTCAACATTCCTATATATTTTACTGTTTTAGGCCACGCCCACGCCTGAATACTGCTGTTAAAAACGATGAAGGCGAAGACCAGGCGGACCTCTTAATACTGCATAACCCCTCCCACAACACGAAGGGTCCGGACACACGCACGCACGCACGCACGCACGCACGCACGCACACACACGCACACACAACTGTGAACTGAGAAGAAATCTTTGGTCAACATTAGCAGTTTGCAACAAAGAGAACAGTGAAGACAGATCATAGAAACACCGTACAATAACTTATTGTTCTACCTCACAACACAATAGCTTTTCAACAGAGACTGTTTTGCTGGGACGAGTGAAACGACGAGTGTAGGAGTTACTTCACTACGGCTTCACGGGGCAGACGTGGACGTCCGACGACAGAAACACTGGAAGAGAAAAAACACTTGCAGGATTCGACAACACAAGGAAAACTTTAGTCCACACGGATGTTTTTTTAAAGGGCTCAAAGGAAAACCAAAATAAATCAGCACGACGCCGAAACCAACTGGCTGACCTGCGCAGGTTTTGGTTGTTTTAAATGAATTTGGTTTCCTCTCTGCTCGTCCCTTTCTCGCCTACAGTAACGGATGAATGACGGCGTGATGTTTCCAAAGTGCTAACGGGTGAGCCTTCTTTATTACGCGCCCAGGAAAAACAACAAAAGAACAACTTGGACAAAGTAAACGTTGGCCTTTGAGGTCTACTCCTGTTCCATGGGGGAACCCGAGCTAACAGCCAGGTTCCTGTGGAGGTTCGGGTTCTGGCTGTGCCTGTTCCTGCTCCGCACGGAGGAGAACGACGTGTCGCAGCCGGGGACTTTACACTTGTGAAGAAGTCTCAGATGGACAGTCTTGTAATGGGCTCTGAATGTGCCCTTGTTGCTGTAGACCTTTTGGCAGACGTGGCACGTTATTGGAGATCCACCCCCACCTCCCTGAAGCCCTCCTTGTCCTCCCTCGCCACAGCCCAGGGTCCTCCCCCCTTCGAGTGCAAGCTCGTCGCCCCCGGGCCTGCCCACGCCGATCCCATCGCAGCTTTCATCGCTGTCCTCCACGGGGAGCGCCTCCTCCTCGTCTTCCTCGGCCCCCTCCCCTTCCTCGCTGCCGGCTCCGTCTGAGTCCCAGGAAGACTGAGCGCTGCCACGAGGCGGGGCAGAGGATGAGGTGCTCAGGTCCAGGACTGCCCCATCCTCCCCGCTTACGCCGCCTTCCCCACCTCCCAATCTCTGAGTCTCTCCCACCGGAGACGCCTCGGCGCTGTCCAGAGCCGTGGACATTTTGCTCATCGGGAAGACCAGACCCATGCGGTTGTGCCCTCGGAAGATGACGGAGGTCTGGCCGCTCGGATCCCGGTGGGGCGGGTCTCGGTCCCGCTGCTCTTGGCAGTACTCCAGCCCGGCAGAGTCTCTGTCTCGACAAAGGGAGGCGTGAGAGTAGAGGGCGTTGGCCGGGCTGAAGGAGTCTTTGGTCAGCAGCTTGTGGTGCAGGTTCAGGTTGGCGCTGTGTCTGCGGGTGACAAACAAAAATGACACTGTGAGTGTTTCAGTCAGTTTACCTCAAAATTTCATGTGAAACATTTATTGTTATTGCAGCTGCACAAAGAGTGATGAGCGTCCGTCTGCATGCGAGCGCACATCGCACTGACAGAGAGGGCTATCCGAGTTTGGATCACTTTTGGAAGGTTTGGATAAAAAGTGACAAGATTTCAGGTGACTGTGGCTGTTTTCCACAAACATTAACGCAGGGCAGCGTTCTTAGCCCTCTGCTGTGGTTTGGGTACAAAGTGAGAAGCACCTTCAGAAATGTAGAATTGCTATTAGCTGATGGAAGTTCAGTTCAATTCAGCACCAAAACAATACAACACAGCAACGATCACTTTATCCAGTAAAGACCCAACAGTCAGGGGGAAGCAGTAGGCGACACCGGGGAAGAAAAACTCCCACAGAGGTCACACTGCTGTTCTGTCGCTATGGTGATGCTGAACTGTCCCCTTTCAAAGAGCGAGAGCTTGAATCTGAGCAGGCGAGGTTTTTCCTCTCCACTGTCACCAAATGCTAGCTCACAGGGGGTCATCTGATTGTCTATTGATGTTTTACACTATAATGAGCCTTGAGGCGACTGCTGTTGTGATTTGGTGCTATATAAGTACAAATGGATCGATCTGTATCTGTGAGACGCAGCCAGCACGAGAACAGGCTGTCATCACACACGTACAGTCTTTACCCTGTGAGCGCCAAACCCCGACTCTGTTTTTGATTGACGAGACTCGAGGACACAGTTTGCTAAAGCAGATGCACTTTCAGCTGCACCGTCAGTGCGAACAGATGCAGTTTGTAACGTTTCCTACAGATTCATGAATACAGAAACCTGACGTGGTGCTGCACAGACATGCAGGCTGCACTTTTGTGACTTTAAGTTGTTGTTGTTTATAAATACTCGAACGTGCACTTGTGTCAGGAGGAGAAATCGAGCGCCTCTCACCTGTCTCTGCTCCTGCGGGAGGGGAAGGCGGCGTTGCAGCCGTCCACCGTGCACATGTGCATCTCCTTCAGGTGGACGTTTTGGTAGTGCATCTTGACGCTGTAGGGGTTTTTGAAGTTCTTGCTGCAGATCTCACAGTGGTGCGGCAGGACGGCGTCGGGATCGAGGTGAGATAACCCCGAGTCTCCGTAGTCATCTCCGCAGCCATCGGACGCCTCCCTCTCTGTGAGCTGGAGGCCGCCGCCATTCGTCAGCCTGTGCTCGCCGTCGTCCCACTTGAGTTCTGACATCTTGTTGAGGCCGTGCTCGCGGTCCTCCCTCTCTGGGTCCTGGCAGAGCGAGCTGTCATCACAGTGATTGTCCATCAGCCTGTTTTCGAAGGGGGAGGACGCGCAGGTGATGACGCCGGTCTCGGCTAGCCTCGAGCCGTCGTCTTTGTCCTCCCTCTCTGTCCTTTCTCTCTCCAAACTTTGCTCTCTCTCCATGTCTTTGCCCTGGTACGCATCTCTGGCTTCCTTCTCCTCCCCAGCTTGTCTTGTGCACAGACGTCCTTCCTCTTTGTTACCGTCGCACTCGTCCTTGTCCCTGCCGTGTAAGGGAGTTTCATCCTCGGAGCTGCTCTCCTTATCCTGCTCGTCTCGCTCCACCATCTCCTTTTCTATCTTTATTGGCATGCTGGACTTGCGAGACTTTTTCTTTGGTATCGGGTCAGTCGTGCAGGGCTCGGGGGCTGTGAGGGGTTTGACGGGCACAGAGGAGGACAGCAGAGGAAGCGAGGGCAGCGTTCCCGGGGTGTTGGCGAGCTCAGCCGGGGTTACCAGGCTTCTGTAGAAAGGCAGGACTGGCTGGACTGTTTTTAAGTTGGGGAAGAGGATGCCGCTTTGGCCCATGCTGGGGAACGAGCTGCTGTGGAGCTTGGAGCCAGAGTCCATGTGGCTCACCATGTAGCTGGACACCGATTTTTGGCTCTCTGCAGAGCAGATGGAGATGGGGGTGCCGTATTCAGGCCTCTTCTCTCCTTCAGAGCTCTCGTCAGCGGACAAGTTGCTCCGCAGGTCTTTGTCCCGGTTGTTGCGGTTCATGGGCATATGGAGGCGTGGGTTTGGGTTGGCACTGTGGCGATTGCGGCTGCGCAGCGAGCTGAACACCATGTTGCAGCCCTCGATGGTGCACTTGTGCTTGATCTTGAGGTGCACTGCGTTGTAGTGGATTTTCAGCGTGCCTTTGTCATAGAACGTCTTCTCGCAGGCGTTGCAAAACACACGACCCTTCTTCAGAGAGCCTCCTCCGGCGATGCCTCCCGAGACGCCACCGCCGCTCCCGTTTCTGTCCAATGAGCGCAGTTTGCTCTCCGGTGACATCTGGGTCACGTCGGAGCTGATGGACGGCGTGCACGGTGTGGAGGGCCCGTCTGAGTAATTGTCACTGGTGGAGAAGTCCTCGGCCTCGATCTTCGTGCTGGCGGAGAGGCCGTCCGTCGGCTTGTCTCCACTTCGGTCGAGGTCAGCTGAGAACGAGATGGCGCCGGAGCTGAGCAGCGTGCTCTCCGACGGGTGCGACAGAGAGGGGTGATTGTCCCTGAGCAGACCGTCCCGCCCCTGAACGTCCTGCCGCTGGCCCTGCTGCTCCATCGGCCCGCGGCACAGCGGCTGGTGCTGCTGATGTTGCTGGTGCTGCTGTTGCATCGCCCCCGTGTGCGAGCCCAGGAACGGCGCCGGGACAGAGCCGAGCAGCTGGAACGGCAGCATGAAGGCCATGCTGTTGATGAAGTTCTCGAAGTGGTGCATGCTGTTGCCGCTCAGCTTATCGGTCTTGGACGCGGAGAGGTTGGCAGCCGTGCGGGGGGTGTTTCGCTCGATGAACGTGCGGATGTCGGAGTTGGTGCGGGTGCTGGGAACCAGCACTGCCTGGCCCTCTTTGTCCTGCAGAGCCATCAGCTCCACGATGGATTTGGTCTCCCCGAAACGCAGGAACTGCTGCAGCGTGGCGATCTCCTCCTCGAACGTCATGATCGCCCAGCGGTCCAACACCTTCCCCGCGACATCCTGCAGAGAGAAGAGAGGAGAGGGCAGAGGAAGTAGGAGAAAGAAAGGAGAGAGCGGTTTCATCATCGGCATTAAAAGTGTCTGCTGGCTTGCTCATACATATTCACACAGTGGGCTGCACGACACACCTTATAAAGCAGATTGGCAGGGCGGCTAAATAAAGGAATCAGATGGAGTGTTAATGCGAGCGGGCAGCGCAGAACCCCGAGAAAGCTCATTACGCAGACACGCAGCGCTTCATCTCGCAGGTCATTTCTCTTCATTTAAATCATGTGGATGTGCCTGCTCTGCATCGGCAGGACACACGCACGCGCACACTCCCAAAGGCGAGCGCAAATAAATACGTGCACAACATACCACACACACATATCTGCGGCGAGGGCGGGGGGAGCAGAAGGCGCCGTGCATTGATCAAGCGGGTCCTCTCTGCCTCAGCCCGGCTGTAATCACATGTGAGTTTGGGGGTCTTTGAAAATGAGGAGCGGCTTCGTGCCATAACCGCGATTAATATTTCATCACAGAGCATTCATTGGGTGCCTGTCGAGGATTCTGACTCTACGTTCGCCATTAGATGAGCTAACATGAATTAAACGCAGCCCAGCTTGAATACTTGATGATGTACTAATCGAAGTGAGATCTGTGTGCGCGCCTGACACGGCGCCTGCAGCCTCGGACCCGGCCGGCTTGGCGCCGGCTTGAGAGGAAATCTGGAGCAAAAGACATAATGTTTACAAATGTAGCGGGCAGTTCGGAGACCTCCCCGAGCCCGGTGGTACCGCCTCGGCGGGGCACCGCTCGTGGCATCGCTTTGCCGTGGCACCCCCCCGCCCTTTCCTGCCTGGCGTCAACCATGATTTTCTGACTCCCCCTCCTCCCTCGCCTTCCTCAGAAATTCCTTCAGTCTCTCCCTTCATGTACTCGCGGGCTGTGGTGGTGTTTCTCAGGTGTCCCGCTCACACGTCTATCCAGGAAAGTGTTTTAACTTTGTTTTTCGTCACTGCGGCGGCCGAAAAACTGAGTCTGAACACAACCCGAGTCCACAAAATGCTGGAAAAACAGGAGGAAATGAAGGCGTGATATTTAAAAATATGCATTGATATTGTGTCGTAATGCATGACCAATAATATGAGAAATAATCGTTCTTGTCTCACAGACGCTCATCTCCTCCATGCACTCAAAAACATGCAGTACACAAAGTTGTAGATGATTATTTCAGGTTTCCCCGAAAGAGATTTTGGCCACAACAAAACTGAATCCAACAGCTTTCTAATTAAACTAATTAAATTAACACTTTTACCAGCTACATAACATTCAATTCAACTTTATTTATACACAACAACAGTCGCCTCAAGGCGCTTTATACTGTAAGGCAGACCCTACAATAACACATACAGAGAAAACCCAACAATCATATGACCCCCTATGAGCAGCACTTTGGCGACAGTGGGAAGGAAAAACTCCCTTTTAACAGGAAGAAACCTCCAGCAGAACCAGGCTCAGGGAGGGGCGGGGCCATCTGCTGTGTTTGGTTGGGGTGAGAGATCACATGTCTGTGCTTATCAAATGGTTACGATTAACAAAGAAATGCACAGATTGTTGTAAAATAAGTGAACAGTCAGACATCAGCCTGCACTTCCTCTAACATCCACTAGAGGCTCCAGTCTCGGGGAGCCACTCTGTTAAACGTGTTAAACGGCTCCAGCAGAAGATAACTGATACACTCAGAATACGACTGTAAGGAGAGTCTGTGGCTATCAGCAGTAAAGCAACGTCCCCCATCCTGATTTCTTTTGTAAAATTATTAAATTAATTTTTATAGAACTTTTCTTTGTAGAAGAGCACTGAGCTTAGCTTAGCATAAACCCTGGAGGCAGCTAAACTGAAGTCTTAAACTGAATGAACACCGACGATTGAAGGCTTCTTTCTCACTCACAGAGTCTTTCTAGAGCTTCTCCAGCTGCAGCCAGATGCAGCACAGGTGTCCTTAAATTTGTCACTCATGAGGTGTCCACAGGAGCAGCAGGCACACATGTTTTTAATGTGCAAGCTTACTGTTATATTCAAACATGACCCACGATCAATTTGTGAACCTGATCATCGAATCCCTGCTCCCCTGACTGATGAGCCACACATGCAGGTGGCATTGTGCCGCAGACCGTTGCTGAACGCTAACGTGTTCAGTCAAACCTTTCCTGAAATGTCGCGCACACCAGCCGAGGCTTCTTCAGTCCTAAGCGCTCACCTGCAGCACGTATCCTCGTATGTAGTCCTGCAGCGTCCAGTCGAGCGCGTTCAGGATCTGGATCACCTCCTCCTGCTTCAGGACGGAGAACAGGCGGTCCAGGAGGATCTTGAGGCGGATGGGGATGGCCTGCGTTCCGTACAGCATCAGGCTGCAGATGTCGAACACCACATTGGAGTGGACGATCTCCACCTGGCTGCTCTGGTACATGTGGTGCACCTTCAGCTTGCTCAGGGCTGAAACACAGGGGTCACGTTTGAACAGATTAGAGTAATCTGAGATCACAGAGTTCAGCTCCGCCTGGGCGCTGCATGCGTGTTTGTGCTGCTGCATGTTCACATTTCACATTCCTGTCCGCTCTCTCACTCCGCTTGCATAATTAAATTGAGTTCAAGCATTTATTAATATTTTTTTGATCGAATCTTTGGGCCTAAATGTAACAAATCAAATAAAAACAGGAACAAAAGAAAAAGAATGAAAAATAAATAAACAATAATCTTCATTAAATATTGGACAACAAATAAAATCTGTTCACTGCACTTCAGGTTGCTCAGCAACTTAACCTTTATTATTATTATTATTTGTTTTCATTCACCGAACAATTTCCTGTTAGATCGTTTTACTACTTTTTAAATTTACTTTTTATTCTTTTCTATTTACCATTTTATTTATTTAGTTTAAAGAAATATATAATTTCTAATTTAAGTTTTATTTAACTAAATTTTAATTTAGCTTTTTTATTCTAACACCTTAATTTTGCTTGTTTTTATTCGGTATTATTACATTTTATTTAGATTTTTATTTATTGAACTTCTTTAGTTATTTATTTTTATGTCATTCACTTTTTATTTTAACTCTTTTTTTGTCCTTTAGAAATTTGGCTTCTAACTTCGTGCTCTATATTGTGTGTATGACAGAGTGGGTATTACTGGACGATGTTAACTGGAGGGAATAACGCAGCATTCAAGTCTGTGTAGCAGAAATAATCATCAGAACACAAAATGATGGTGATTCAAGCAGAGTGTTGGACACATTAGAATAATTACAGGAAATAAATGTGACTCTCGCTCTGTAAACTCTGACTTCCAGAGCTTCAGCGATCATTAAAATCCCGCTGCGGTCACCCTGTTAGTCCACCATCATCCTCTGTGTTTACGCCACAGAGCGATGACTCTAAAGGACTTTTAAAGCTTCGGTTCACCTAAATCTGAAAGCTCCAGTTCTCCAGATTTTCAGACGGTATCACAATAAAGTGATGAGTGATTGTCTTGAGACAAAAAGCCTTCAGGTGACTCCAGGCGTTACTCTAAGTACTTAAATCACACTTTTCTGGCCTTTGTGAGAACTCAAAAAATGTTTTGTTTTTTTTACTTCGTGCTTTTACTTAAAAAAAAGCTGCATAAATAATATTTAGTGAATAAAATCCTCAGTCAAGAAAAATGAATTATTTTTGATTTTCTGTTTGCGATTTTCTTTTAAATAGACCGATTGTGTCTGCAGGGCCTGGAAATGTCTTATTTATGTGAGGAAGAATGACAGACACCAGCTGGGAGTAATCTGGGATGCACTGCAGGGAGGAGCTCAGGGTTCTGTGTCATCATTAAAATCAACACTTTTTCTCCCGAGTCAGCAAATGTGAAGTTCAGGATTCACGCACGCCAACAAAGGCAGAGGGCCAAACATGTCGCCGTGCGCCGCGGGTTACTCGATTATGTTAAACACGCAGGTTTTCTCTCTGTGACGGTTCCTGATGTTTAACCTGGGTCTGTGTAAAGGCGACAGTGTCATCGCTGCGCTCACTTTTCTAACTTTATTTAAACACGTCCATGTGAACAACACTGTGCAGCTCTGCAGCCACACTTCATGTTGCATCTCTGTTTGAATTTAAACGCCGCGTGGTCGTAGAATCTCCCTGACTACAGCATCCATCTGATGCTCAAAGCCTCCGACTGTGTCTGAACTTCAGCGGTGCTCTGCTCTTCTTTATTTAATTTTTAAACACAGCTCACATCTTATCGTCTCACAGGACACAGCTGCACGTTTCACTTACAGTTAATCTGAAAAATAATAAAACTAAAAACAGGAAGCTACTTTCTTGATTCCATTTTAATGGTTTTATTTGCGAGTCTGTCAGCAAACTAGAAATTAGATTCCTTTGGCACACAGATAAATAGATTCAGATTTCAGCGTGAAAGCTTTTTAAATCAAAGATTTCTGACTGATAATAACGACAAACTCTCGTCTTACCATGAGCCACCCAGCCATGCTTGCAGTTTTCACACTGCCTCCTCTTCAGCTTCCCCGGCTTGAAGCTGTCACAGTTACAGTTCACCAAAGTGCAGCAGATAGCCTGTCAACACACACACACACACACACACACACACACACACACACACACACACACACACACACACACACACACACACACACACACACAGAATTCTTTACAATGAAAGCAGATAGAATCAGATAAACTGCAGGTTTTCTTTTCCTGTGTTGTGAACGGTTTTCCTTACATTAAAACACTGCAGAGGCCTTTCACACATTTAGTCACACTGGATGTGGGAAGAAACGCCAAATTCCTGACATCAAGACCCGACACGACTGATGTCAAGGCCTCTCTGTAATTTTATAAATTACTAAACGAAAAATATTTCATGTATTTCTTACAGAAAATCACCAGTAATTTAACACCTGTGTGGGGTTAAAATGACTGGTAGAGAAACCAAAGCAGATCTGAGCAGCAGAGCGTGGAGATGATCAGCTGCAGGTTTTAAAAAGCATTGAACACATTTTAAAGTTCCTAATGAATTAACAGGCAGGCACTTAATGGCAGCTTTGACTGATAATAAGCGTCAGAGCGCTGCGTTTATTTTTGGTGTTGAAGGCAGTAAAAATAATCAAAGTGTCAAAAACGAAAAATCAGCAAAATTATCAAAACTGTGAAAATGAAACATTTAAAATTACAGTGAATGCAATTTTTTTTTAATGAGAAGAAAGACGAAGGAAAAACTGACACAAGTGAATAAAATGATTATTGTTATATTTGCATTATTTTTAGATTCCAGGTAAGCAGCGAGTCGGTCACCCTGAGTCTCCTCCTCTCTGCTGACCTTCAGGTGGCAATAATAACATCAATAACAACAATAATCATAAAGTATTTATTTGTGCAGTGTTTGGTTTTGTCCATGCAGCGATGCTGTGGCTGCAGAGGAAACCAGGTGAGCGCTGCACCTGAGAGCTGTGGTGCTCTCCAGCAGCCTTCTTGTGCTTAGTGTCACATTAAATTCACATGTTAATGTGCCACATACATATAAAACCTTCTGTTTTTTAGAATTAATTTTAGGATCTCGTCAGGTCGGTTTAGCAGCAAACTCCTCCTGTGCTGCACACCAGCTCGACGATTGTTTAGCTGTTCGTGTGATGTTTTATTCTAGTCTTTATTGATTTGAATCATTGGCTGATGGTTTATGATGAAGTTCGCTTCTTTTCATAATGTGGTTAGCAGATCAGCAGAGTCACAAACATGCTGTTTAACACGTTTTTGTGTTTGTGCAGGAAAAGTGATTAATTGTAATTAGAGTAATTTATGTCCAGCCTTAAAAATCCGTCAGTGTTTCCATAAAACACATGAAGATCATTTTGGGTGTCAAAAATTTTTTATTAAATAAAAGAAAATTTGCAAACGTGATCTGAATCTGGAACCCCGACAACAAACCTCCACCTCAGTACGCAGTCAAGGCAAAAAAGAAGTGCTGAGAGTGTGTGTGTGTGTGTGTGTGTGTGTGTGTGTGTGTGTGTGTGTGTGTGTGAGTGTGAGTGTGTGTGCAGCTTCGCTCTCCTTACAAAGCTACATAAAAAATGTACAATCGCCAAGTTGCCCGTGGAAACTGAAAGAAGGAGCACGACTGCCTTTGGTGATTTCTCCCCCATCACTTCGTGGTTTGCCCCGTTAGCACAGGTGTGTGTGTGTGTGTGTGTGTGTGTGTGTGTGTGTGTGTGTGTGCAGGGCTGCCGGGCAGGTCGGACACACCTGGACTACAAAACCAATCAATGACAGCCTGAGGCGTGCGTGTGCACACACACACACACACACACACACACACACACACACACACACACACACACACACACACACACACACACACACACACACACACAGGGTTCAGAGGGCTCTGTCCATTACCTCCTCAGCTAATGGGATGAAGATGCAGGAAGTGATGACGACAATAATGAGTCCAGTTTTCTGAGGAGCTGCTGACTGTGCAGCGACCTGCAGAGAGGAGCCCTACACTAAAAATGACTCCACTTCCTGCTCTCTAAAAAAAAAAAGAGTCATATCTGAATGGAGGAGCATCATCAGATTTATGATCAAAGCCGCTGTTGTTAGCGCTACACGCTGAAAACCTTGGGGTGGCTGCGCTCCGCCACCTCTCTCCCTCCGCATCTATAATGCATGATCAGCAGGGGTTTAGTATACATGAGCAGCATGCTCATCTCCACCAGAGCCCGGTCCCTCTCCACGAGGAGGAAGAGCTTGGGCGGATGGGTAAGGAGCCTCCTCCTCCTCGTTTAGTCAGTTCTACGCTCGAGGCTGGGTTCGTCCTTCACCTCGCGGTAACCTCGCATCGTTAGGACGAATAAACGGACCCGAGGTGAAGGTGGTGGCAGCTACCTGAGCGCGGGGTGGCAGCTCCGGCCTCCGGCCCCGTGACGCCTATCTGCCACCCTGTCTGCACCCTCTCCGCCGGCCTCTTATGTTGGGTTTTACCTCCCGAGGACCACGGCGGCCTCCTCGGGACAGCAGCGAGGTGTGAAAACCCCTTTGCTCATCTCTCAGCAACATAATCCCATCATTACAGAGCGCCGAGACCCAACACGGCCCAATTAGTCTAATCCCGTCTCGCTGTGGGTGCACACACACCCCCTGCTGCTGCCCCCCTAATATACATCTCAATCTCACACACACACACACACACACACACACACACACACACACACACACACATTCCAGTGCTTGCAGTCGTTTATCTTAATTAGCGAGTCACTTCATGAGTTCCTGAGAAGAAGAAGAAGGAGAGGTGGAGGAGGAAATATGGCAGCGCGGGGCAGGCCACTGCTACCGCCGCTCTCAGTGACCGAGAAGAACCCACCAACTCTCCGCCCCCCTCCCCGCCGCCGCAACCATCCCTTTCTCTTTGCTGTTGTCACAACAAAGCGGAAGCTGCTCGCACGCATCAATGACGCCGCTGACAAGAAGACTAATTGCACAAAATGATGCGTCCCCGTCAGACTTCTTCAAGCTAAAGTTAACACGGTGTCACTTTCTTTATATCGTACAACAGTGTAACCCCCGCCTCCGCCTCCACGTTACACGTCTTCGATTAGCACCGTGACAGCACGGGGCATCGAATAAACGACAAAACGAAAGCGCGCTGTCGTCAGGAGGGGACGCATTCATTTCACTGCGCCGGGTGAGCGACCGTGAACACTTTAATGCGAGTTCCTCTCATTCACAGAAAAATCCACTTCCACTCTCAGAGCTTTGCTCCACATCTCAGGTATCCCGAGGTCGTGTGATGACACCTCAGCTCTGCTGATTAAACAAACAGGTGCATGAATGATGCAGAATCAAAGGAAGCAATGCAGCCTTGGTTCTCTCTGTATACATTCGTATGACACGTTTGCGCTTCCATCTTTAACGTGAAAACAGATGGAGCCTCGTGGCGTGCACACTCTGATTCTGACGCCGTCTCTCCAGTTTGTTTCAGCATTTAGTTTGAGGCCGTGTGTGGGAAGGAGGCTGTGGAGGGAGAGGAGGTGAGGCCAGGACAAGACAAAAGTGAGAGAAGAAGAAGAAGAAGGAGCAGGAGGAGGTGGAGGTAAGTATGCCATAAAACAGCATCCATACTCTGACGATGTGAAATCTCTCCACGCTCAGCAGCGGGGTTCACTGGATTTTACTGGCTTCAGGTTAACCTGCGCACGTTATTGCGCCGCCGTTACAAAGACTGACACTTTTATGAGAATTATTAAAAGCTTTAAACGCAGCTGCTTCCTGGTGATCGGATCTGCTTTCTCGCTCCACCGCGTCTTAAAAAGACGTGGAATAAAACACAAACACGGCTTCAAGGCCAGACGCAGAGAGAAAAGAAGAAGCTGGAACATGATGTGTGCGTCCGCTGCTGCAGCCAAACACACAAAAAGAAAGAAAATGACATCGTCCTCTCTGGCGTTTAAAATAAACTCTTTAAAATATGTCCGCGTCCTCGGAGACTCGCGGGAGCGAACAGCTGCTTGGACGTGGGCCGTGCGGGGATGGACGGGGACACATTGGACTAATGCGCTGGAAAACTAATCAATTAGCAGCAGCTCGCTCGACTCTGACTGCTGCCAAAGAGCCGCGAGGAAAAGGGAGAGACTGACGGCCAAGTGCGAGGGACCACATTTTACTGTCAGCCATTAATCAGTTAACGCGACGATTACACAGAGGGGATAAAAACAGGAAGTGTGCATGAAGAAATCGTCTGCGATTCGGCACAGATATCCCTCAGCTTTACTTTTTTTGTGTAAACTGATAAATTCTTGGCGAAAACATCGTTGAGCCCACCGAGAGCTGCCAGAACGTATTTCTCCACTTCACGCTGGAAACAACAAATCAAAGAAAGACCATTTATTATTCTTATTTTTAAGATTTATCACGAGCGCCAACAAACATCCAAAACACGAAGCAGTTTATTCAGAAAACACGATTTACTGACACTTATTCATTATGAGAGACAAAAACACGAGTAAATCCTCCTCAAACCTGTTGTCTGGTTTATAACTGATCTCTTCATAAAATTAATAATGCCGTTTAATACGAAACACAGTCACTGGATTTTTATTTCAAATTAAAATGACTGATGTTGTTTATCCGAGCAGAAAAAATCTGATCCACAGATCGATGGCATGAGAATTTTTTTTCACTTTTCTGTTTTACATCATTCAATTTTCCAGTTTGGATTTTCAGACGAAGTAAGAATTTCTCTCCAAACACGACATTTTCCTTCAAACAGAAAACGCTCACAAAACTGCAGAAATGCTCAAATATAATTTTATCTCTCAGACGTTAAAGTTATGAAGGAGAAAAATGACACCGCAGCAGTTTGATCACTAAAAACTGAGACCAACGCGACTCTGTTCATTCAGAAAACTGTGAAGTTTTACTTTGAAATTAACCAGCAGCATCCATGCACACAGTATCAGTCAGGAATTCGGAGGGAGGACCGTGCTCCTGGTACCGCTCGCTTATCTCCCACCAGTGAAACCAACACAGCACCAAAACCTGCAGCTTCACCTGACCTCACCACGGACACAGTGTGTGTGTGTGTGTGTGTGTGTGTGTGTGTGTGTGTGTGTGTGTGTGTGTGTGTGTGTGTGTGTGAGACAGCCAGGAGTCTTTATTGATGACAAGCGTTAGTTGCAGTGAGGTTAGGATATGCGAGTTTCTGATTTCGTCTCCCTGCTCCGAGGAAGCAGCTGACAATAAGAAATTAAAAAAACAAAATCGCCCAGAACAATCAAAAATGTGAACTTTAAACAAACCCTCAGCTGTCTGACCGTCCAGCCTCCTCGCAGGGTGGACTGCACATCAGCACAGCTTTTAAAATTCCCTTAAATGAAAGCAGAGTGTTTGTGGAAGACGGCGGCCGGTCCCGAGCAGGAGGAGACAAACCCGGGAAAAGCCCGGGCGAGTGCAAGTAGTGACAGGCTGCGTTTGAGCCTATTAGGACTCCATACAGCCCAAAGACAGCGTGAAACACTCGTTATTTCAAACTCATCCAGCAATCAATCACACACATGAATGCAGCGCATGTTTGAACACTGGAGCAGACAAAAAAAAGATCTTTACCTGCAGATCCATGAGAGGAGGAGAAGAGCGGCCTCTTTGCAGACAAAGAGATGAAGGAGAAGGAGGCGAGCCAAAGTTTGGTTGGCTTCCTGCAGCTCGTGGCTCCCCGTTAGGAACTCGTAGGGAGTGTTTGGCTCGCAGAGCGAGTAAATGAGGGGAACATGTTAGTACACCGAGTCTGAGGGAGTTTGGCTCCCAGCTACGCTCTGATTAATATCAGATCTCCCTCTCTCCTCGCCGCCTCTTGACAATCTTGTCACATCTGGCTGACAAATCCTCACAAGCCTTTTGGTGGCAGCGCAGAGCACGGGGCGGTGTGTGTGTGTGTGTTAGGGGGCAGGACGGGGGCCACGAGGGGCGGATCGCAGCTCAAGGAGACGCTGAAGGGGGTAAAAGGCTGGAGCAGATACACACAGATACCCCACCCGCCCCTCATCCTCTCACGGATGGACCCTCGTGAAGCTAATGAAGCTGATGAGGCTGGAACACACACACACATTTATATATAAAGACACACAAAGCAAAGTGCAGCCCTATAAAAACAGGCCGGGGCACTCGCTGTGAATCGTTGTCTGTTGCCCTGCAGCGCTGGAGGAGAGCAGAGACACCCGCAGAAAGCAGCGGAGCTACAGAGGGAAACAAAGGTGGAGATAAAGAGAGGACGAGAGGAAAAGCCACCGAGGGCCGATCGACTCGCATTTCTGCCTCACGCACAAATAATCACTGCCTCGGCGTAATGGCCTCCTCAGAAAAGCAACCTGTTAGAGGAACAAAGTGTGGACGCAAACACAATGACACGATGAGTGTAATTTACTAAGAATTTACATTCTTACAGTTTTTATTTGTCTTCCACTTTTTTATTCTGCTGTAAAATAAAACGAGAACGTCGCAGCTGTAAATCTGCTCCTCACACCTTCGAGAGGCATAAAGGCTGCTATATTATCCTGTGTACGACTGATCGTGTCCTCAAATCTCAGCTGATTCATGTCAGACAGTTCAGCTGATAACAGTTAGTTATTCCACGCTCACTCATCGTTTTCCACACACACCAGTGTGTAAGTGAAACCGCTAACGGGGCATAAACACACGCTGTTTAAATAGTTTACACACACACGCACACACACAGGCGTGAAGAGCTGCCACCGCCGCCGCCACACAGACGGCTCAGCTAATTGTTACATGATGGCTGCAACAAAACATTAGGCGGCTCTTAAATTACATTCCGACAGGCTGCGGCCGCGAGGACCCGGCCGGCAGCGAGAGGCAGCGAGAGGCAGCGAGAGGCCACGCCACTCTGCAAACAAACCCACAGACACACAAACAGGCCTCTCAGTGCCTCAGAAATCAAGCACCTTAGAATAAATTCAAAGAAGAGAAAAAGGCGAATGCAGAATATTATCTCAGAGGAAGAAACGGCGAAATAAAGAAGTGAATCATGTTTCATGAAGTGCAGAACTCGACTCTTTGGATTGTCGGTGACCGGAGTGAATAAACATAACGTCTCCATCAAAGTGTTTGAGAGCGAGTCAGAGATGCACACATGCCACGAAAGAAAGTTTCAAGAACTTTAAAATCCTCTTTATGTGAATTTAAACTCTCCGCCTGCACAGCTGCTCATTTTCACATTTTTAAACTTATTAAAGGAGTTTAAACAAAGTTTTTCTGGCATGAATTCTTTACTTTGAAGGAGTAAAGTGTAAAAATCCACACAGTGTGATAACAGAAACCCTAAATATCAGCTCGAGACCACCTTTCTGTTTTTGCCCGATCAGTAACAGGATCAGGACACGCTGAACGTCTACATTCAACAACCCAACGTGCCCGTCACCAGAGTCGGCACAACTCCATCCAGCCCGTCTTTGTTAATCGCGTCCTGATGATGTGCGAGACGAGCCGCGGCACACAGAGGACGGCGGCGAAGCGCTCTTACCTCAGCCATTGTCATTAGTCGGATGTTTCCAGGGATACCGCCGAGTTTGCCATTCCCTGCGAGTCCCACAAAACAACTGCCTCCAACTCTCCTGTCCGCACAAGTACTAACGCGAAAGAGCCATCACACCCAGCAGCGTCTCCTTCAACAGCAGACACACATGTGCTCCTCTGCCTCACACACACACACACACACACACAGCCGCCACCACTCGAACAAAAAACAGAGAGAAGAAGAAGAAGTCCCTGTGCTTTTACTCTCACTGCACACACACAGACACACACACGCCTCCTCTGCTTTCTCTCCTCTAATGCCGGACTCGCTCTAAACTACTCAAGATGTTCAGTGTGTGTGTGTGTGTGTGAGTGTGTGTGTCTGTGAGTGTGTGTGTCTGTGAGTGTGTGTGTGTGTGAGTGTGTGTGTGTTGAAACTGGGCACAGGGGATTGGAATGAGATCCTCCTACTCGGCATTCTCACCTCAGGAGCTGCTCCCTCCCAATCCCACACACACACTCACACACTCACACACACGTGCACGCACAGAGGTGCGCATGCCTTTCTTTCACACATGTGCGCACACACACACAGACACGCACACGCCTCCCCCCTCAGAGTCACAGGGCAGTCCCCTCACAGCTGGCTGGAAGAGGGCATGACACTCATCTTTCACAGAGATTTGATCAAAAGGAATCACAAAGGCTGGAGGCTCCCCTAATGCAGTCAGGGGAGACTCTCCCTTTCTCCCCTCTCTCCCCTCTCCGTCTGAGTAATGCTCTAAATCAACGCTGCCCCTCTCGCTGCACACAGCCCACTGTGCGCGTCTGGATTCACCTTAACGCAGCTCTGTGAACGGCCTCCGTAACAAGTTATGCCTTGTGCCGTCAGGAATGCGTAAGTGTCTGTGCCGAGCGTTTCTCAGGACGACGGGGGGGACGCCGCACATGGCGAAAACCGAATCTGCGTTACCGGGAGGAAGACGTGCACCTCGGGCCGGGGGCGGCAGATCTCTGCGGTACAGTCCAGCGCTTTTCTGTTTTCAGGAGATGCTGTGCAATCAAAAAGAATAACAAAAACATATCATTACCTAAGCTTTGTCTAAAGGTGTGAAGGCGGGCGGGAGGAGAGTCACACAGCGATTATTCACAGTTTGAAAATTTGGGGCCAAAATGTTGGTGGGACTGAAAGAATGTGGCTTATATCAAATCAAATCAAATCAAATCACTTTTATTGTCACATCACATGTGCAGGTACATTGGTACAGCACATGCGAGTGAAATTCTTGTGTGCGAGCTTCACAAGCAACAGAGATGTGCAAACACAACAACACAAACGAGCAAAATACAAGAATGGCCAACCTGAAACTAATAAATATATGTACAATATATAATAGTGTATGCATTTCTGGATGTGTATACTAAATATTTTCCTACGTGTGTGTGTGTGTGTGTGTGTGTGTGTGTGTGTGTATACACACATTTTTACAAATTAAATAGTAAAAAAAAAAAATAAATAATAATAATAATAATAAAATATATAAAATATACAGAGTTGAATATGTGCAAAACGTCAGGTGAGGTTTCCTAAAGGTAAAGTGGAAACAGCACAGCTCTTAAAACATAATAAAATCTAAACATTTGCAGTATGATGCAGACACACATGTGTAACCTCAAGTTTAACATGTAAACTTTAAACCATGTCCAGCAGCCACTGTAGGAACATTTAGGAGCAAATATTCTCATGAACATGAGACTGTGAGCCAGTGACATCAGCCAGGGATTCTCAGAGGAATTACTAAATAAACAACAGTGAGATCACCTTTTTACATATATTTAACACTTCTTACATTTTTCCTTTTTCTAAGGTCTAATCGACCCAGTGAGCATCAGCTGATGGCTCAAATAATCTGATTTAAATTTAAAACTACCTCCAAGAACCTCTGATGATTTATTATTACTATTAATTAATAACTGGGGTAACGGAGGCAGACAGTCACAGGTGAAATGCTCACCTGGTCTCATGTGTGCAGGTAACTGAGGCTGGGGGGGGAAAAGCAAAACTGCACCAATAAAACTCGTCAGTAGAAACTTGACCTGACGGCACAGGTGGTACGCATCGCTGTCACGTGACATGATGATGCTGATGCAAACCTCATCACCTGCGGGACAATATCCATTAAATACAGATGTTTTAAACTAAACCGCTACTGAATTGTTTCATGAAATGTCCTTTTTTGTGTCTCCGTATCTGTGGAAATGTGGGGATGAGTGATTTTCAGTCTTTTTTGCACCCGAGTCCACCTGATAAGTGCCAAACATCAGGTGTGTCGTGGGCCACACCTGGGCCCACAAATTAGCCAGAAGCTGCACAAGTCCAGGTCCTGTGACTGCAGCGTGAAGGCTGACGTCCCTCCGCTCAGCTCCGTGTGAAACGATGAACACACAGTGGAAAAGGAGCTTTTTTAAAGTGCTGACACTGCAGGAACATTGACAGAGTGAAGCAGCGAGAAATTCGACAAGTGATGTGTGAGTAACTTTTCAGCTTCTGCCCTTTTTCCTTTTCTTCCCCTCCTCCTCTCTGCATAGAGGGAACGCTCTGCTGACTTTAGCCATTAGAGGCATCTGCTAATCCACAAATTACACAGCAAGTTTAAACAGGCACACCTGGTCTGCTCTACCTGTGCAGAGACAGAGGGCGGGGAGGGGGGCGGCCCCACCTGACGGGTTTGAAACTGAAAGCATGAAACCTCACTTCGACTCTTTTTCCTTTTTCTGAGATTGAACTCGCGCAGAGAGCGTCGGCGAAGCGGCTCTTGATGCCATTCTCCTCGAATAATCTCGTTTTCCTTCTTCTGACCCTCTGAAGCAGCAGAGGGGTGGGAGTTCACTGCCTTGCTCAAAGGTAGCTCAGCTGCAGCGCTGCAGGGAGGGAAGAGTTTTACTCATCCGCTTTCCCCACCCACATTCTTCCCAGCGAGGAGCTCAACCTGACATCCGTCCAATCACAAACCTGCTTCCCTAACCTCTAGGCGAGCAACACCCGCTCCACTCGACATTCAGAAATTCGCCGAGCGGCCTCGCTAACTGATAAAAATGCAACTAATGGCCCTTGAAGTTGGACATTAAAACTGCATTACTTTCCACAGGAGATCAAAGCCGTTCTTATTCGTGAAAAGCGCAGAGTGTTATGAGGTTACATATATGGATAAGAGACATCCCGTCAAGGCATGTATCGTAAGGCTGGAAAGCCCTGCGCTCCCCCTGCGGTCGTCCAGGCAGGCAGATCTGCTTACCGGCCTTGTATTTATTCCAGACCTAGGGGATGCATAGCAAACACAGCCGCAGACCTGGCCTGGATTAGGTCTGCGCCGCTTGTCAGATCGCTGCTGCTCCCTGGGCCGGAGCGCCGCAGACGTATTTGTGCCGCGGGGGCAGAAGGTGGAAGCTGCAGCAAATAAACTCCATGTGCAGCAGAACAGGTCACGCTGCCTACTTACACATCTGTCATTAGCCTTCCTGCAGGGGAGAGCGGACGGGGCTGAGCGCTCCAGCAGATGAGCAGCTTTGGGAGAGCATTACACCCTCCTTTACATTTTCTTTACATGCTGGAGCCAAGAAAAACCCTGCAAAAAACCCGATCGCACACTCACCGGCCTTTGTTTAACGCGACACGAGGCACCAGGAGGGATTCCAGGAGTCACTTTCTTTTGAGTGTTTTGCCTCCCATCAAAGAGGAAAATGCAGCTCCGGCTGAACATTAGATAATTAATCTGAGGGGCTGACAAATGATTTGATTTTGAAAGAGAAAATCACAGCTGCTCTGACCCCGGGAAGGCGTCCAAACGTCCTGTTTTTGTGTAAACAGCGTCTGAAACAGGGCAGTCTTTGATTTACAGGAACAGCAGGAGAGTTCAGCTCAATTTAAATCACTACAGCAGCCAAAGTGCTTCATATTACAAGGCACCTGGCGACAGTGGTGAGGAAAAACTCCCTTTCAACAAGAAGAAACGTCCAGCAGAACCAGG